AGAGTTTTGAAATTTTTTTTTTGGTAAAAGAGTTTAAACTTATATTGTTTAACTATTGAGTATATTTTTGTCAACTATTAAAGTTTCATGTAAATGTATTATGAGTTTGAGAAGAGATGTTAGATAATATATAATAAGTCTCTTATTATAATTGAATTAAAGGATAGTTTATTATATATATTTTTTATTTTATATATATATATATATATATATATATATATATATATATATATATATATATATATATATATATATATATATATATATATATATATATATATATATATATATATATATATATATATATATATATATATATTTGTAACTCTTATTTTTATAAATTATGTTAATTCATACTATTGAAATTCTATTTTCTTACTTTATCATCGCTATTATTAATAGAGTATACTTTTAAATTGTGTATCTGTCTATCTTATTTCAAAGATTTCTTTTAAAATCTGAAGAGACTGACTTTATGACAAAATTATAATAGTTGACACAATTGTAGATATGTTATGGAGGCCTGGTCCTTTGAATGAATTCTATGTTTTGAATTGACTTTTTAATGATTATATCTTGTGTAAGTCCTGAAAAGTAACATTTTTTATACGGACAATGAATTGAAAATTAGTGATTAATAAATTATAGATTAATCTCTTATAAGTATATTTTCGACATGCTAAAATGTGTTCAATCTTCTCACATCTCCAACAAATTATCCATTTTAAATGTGAAAACTTATCACAATTTTGTGCTTTGAAAAAGACATTTGACTCAATTAAAAAATATAAATATTGTGTATAAATCATTTTAGCCATGATTTCCAAAGAACATAAAACTTTTTTAATACCAAAACCGTTTTTAACCGAGTATGCAAATAAAGTATCACAAGTTGGAACTCCACTCCAAACAACAAGCGATCTGAGTCCTATTAAATATACATACACTAAACATACTGTCATATCATATCCAATCCCATTTGCCCATAATGTATCACAAGTTAAAACGACATGTCGGTGAACCCCGCTGCAAATGCAATACCGTTGATGTTTACCAGCAAAATCACACTTTCTAATTCTTTTCTCTTTCTTTATTCCCACTTTATTCTATAATTCATATTCAAAAATAAATAATTAAAGTTACATTGTTCCTCACGCGCCAAATTTGCGAGTAAACCAGTAACGTAACTTAACTATAAATACCGTTATCCATTCGTTTCTAGTTCCCACTTAGTTTCAGTTACTAATTGCAGCAAGAAAACAGAGTCGTTCATAACAACACTATTTATTCTATTCTAATGCAACACCGTCGTTGCACCTTTGTTCCGCCGTTCACCACCGTAACCGCAACCGCAACCTCTTTTCTACATCACCATGTCTAGCACAAACTCCCATTCATTGAATTGGCACTACGCAGAGCTAGACGAGAGAGACCTCGAAATCAGAGGCAGAACACTCTTCTTCATAATCGTTCTCTTCTCCATCTTCCTTCTCGCCATCGTTCTCTTCTTCTACACTCGCTGGATCTGTCGCTACCACTCCCGCATCACCTCCACTACACTCTCTACTTCCATCCACGCGCCGCCGCCGCCTCCACCTCAGGGACTCGACCCTGTTTCCATCAAGAAACTTCCGATAATTCTTCACCAGACACCGGCAGACCCAGAAAACGGCGCGTGGGAAGACACCGAGTGCTGTATCTGTCTAGGAGAGTTTAAAGACGGAGAGAAACTGAAGATTCTACCAGGTTGTGAACATTACTTTCATTGTGACTGTGTTGATAAGTGGCTAACTCATCAATCTAGTTGTCCACTTTGTAGAGGCTCTCTCAAAGTTGAATCTTCTTTTCCAAAGATTTTGATTCAGGAACCACCCATTAGAATTGATATCCAATTCTAGCTACTACTTCTTCATTTTACTTCTGGATCTTAATCTCATTTTACAAATATTAATAAAAATGATGGCTTTTAGTAATTTATTCCAATTCTTGTAAAAAAAAATATATTATACTGTACAGTATATTTAGTTTAAATCTAAGGATCTTGAATGTCAAAACAAAATTCTACTTGAACTGATGTAACAAAAATTGTTAATACTAGCAGAGTTCAAATCTAAAGCCCTAGGAGAAATACACTTCAAATTTCTAGCCTTCGCCAAATGTGACCCATTTTTTTAGGTTGATGTGCACATTAATTAGACAATTGCACATGAAATTAGGTGATAAAAATTGGCGATGTCCATTGTATATAGTAGTTAAATTATGGTATGTTCCCATGTTGGATTGTAGCACTATAGGGTTGAATGAAAATTACAGGAAGAAAAAGAGAATGCTGGTATGAGGACCACTTGTTTGATAAAAGTCCTGAAAGATGTTGGACTTCTGAGTCAGCTGTGATTTTTGTCTATTGTTTGGGTACGTGGTCCTGTTTCTTAGTATATGTTACATTGGTGGAATTGAGACAATTTTTGTGCTAATAATTTTGAATTTGAATTTGTGTGCATCTATTCGAATCATTACCAAAACTTATTACCTCTCTTTATTCTTTCTTATCTACTAAGTTTACGTTTCTTTTCTGCATCTGTTTACGTTAGAAAGCAATAGAATTTGAAGTGTTGTTACTTTGATGAACCAGTAGCATTCATTGCGGAAACTTAGAGTAAACTGAATAATTGATTGGTTATTACTATTATTGACATGAAACTGGGTCCCTATGCCATGTGATAGTTCCGTGAAGCAACTTCATTGTTCATTTGTTTTCAGCTTGATGTGTTTGGATTGTTATGAAAAGAATATTTTAGATTTAAAGTTGAGATTAGAAATAAGAAAAAAAAAGTATTTGACTTGGGCATATGTACATTGACTGGAAACCGAAAGTAGGGCATTGTCTAATTAAATCAAGAAAAAGCTATTCCTTTACCTTTATAGAAATAGAGAAAAAGTATATTCTTTTATAGATAAGACTAATTTAAATGGAGTTGCTCGTATCTATTCTTAAAATATTTGGTGAGTGTAAAAATTCTAATTTTTTTAAGGATTTGGATCCTTTTTTTTTATATATCATGACATCTCTCATGTTTCTAATCTAACGGTTCAGAATTTATAATAAATAATTAAATAAAAAAAGTTATTTAATAGTAGAGAGAAATGGATAAGTAATTTGTCCATTATTAAATGACTTTTTTTATTTAATTATTCATTATAAATTCTGAACCGGTAAATTAGAAACATGAGAGATGACATGATATATAAAAAAGGAGAGGATCCAAATCCTTTTTTTAATGGATTTAATTGTTATACATTGGATGGCGTAAAAATATTTTACACTGTCATCTACTAAAAATATATTATTCTTTCGTGTCATATAGATAATTTAAAAATTTTAATATAACTTAACGAGATGTATGATCGTTATTAGTTGACTGTGTAAAAAAAAATTATACTATCAACGCATTTTTTTAATTGAATTAACAAAACATATATTTTTGAAGTTTTTAATTGCGTGTTTTCAATATTAGAATATTCTATTCTTGTCTACTTTATTTAAGATTTATGCACTTTACTTTCCTTAAAATATTTCTTAATTTTCTATATTTTTTAATTTCTAAAAAAGCTGAGCTATACTCTTATTCACCTATCAAAATAATTGAGATTATTTGTTGAACCTTCTTTAGATAGATTAAAATATTTCAACATTCAACTTTTAAAACTAATCTATCAAAATAGTTGAGATCCATTTTGTTTGTTGTCCTCTTTAAACAAATCTGTTTCCATAGAATATTAACCACACATTGAACCCCCAACAAAATATTTAATAGACTCAATATCAAAATATTTAATAGACTCGAATATCTACAACTTATAGCACACAGATTTGTACCATTTTCTCAATCATTCGGCAATGCAACCAAAGGTGTCGGAGGACATGAAATTTCCAGCAATATTGAAAGTCATAAATTATAAAATATCACTTCAAACACAAGCGAACTATTTGAAAGGCTACCTTTTTCAAACAAAATTAATGATTGCAATGCAAATCATTGCTCAAATCACAACTGAAGTGTATGTGACATTATTCGTTTTTAATGGTCGAGTAAGGAAAATGAGTAAAATAAGATTAAGAAAACTGACTATACTTATCAAACTAATTCTATGAAAAGAAAAGAAAATCTCAACACCACGATAAATTACCAAATTCTAAGGTATGATTGGATGGAGGATTTTAGAGTTTTGGATGACCAAGTTTATATTTTCGTATATATTTTAATTTTTTAAAATTTGATCATACAATATTATAGTTATACGTACTTTATATTTAGAAACTTTTCATAACTTAAATTTAAAAAACTAAAATAAAAATAAGTCCTCCTTTCCCCTCCAAATTCCTGCATCCAAACCTATCTAATTGATCAACAAGGTCCCAACTGACAACACATATAGTAGTTAAATGAGAGATCAATGCAATCTCCTCTTTTTCCCTTCATATTCAGTCTTGAGGGTGCTTCCCAAAAACATTGAGCATGCATCACTGGAAATTAGCTGAACTAACTTGACTTGGATCAATCACAACCCCAGGAACTGACCCTGACCGGCTTTGTCTTGCAGTAGTAGACGAAGGTAGTTGGATATTTTGAGGAATAGGAGCTTCCTGCGAGTGGCCGGCGACACAAAGGGCACCAGTGTCATCTTGCTCCCAGTATACCTCTACCATAAAACCTGTGGGGTATTCGGAAGACTCTGTTCCTGGAATTCCCACAAACCTAGCTCCTATCGGAATCTGCACAATTATTTTATTGATCAGCAGAATTTAGCTAGTGACTGCTAGTTGTCACAGCTACAAAACTTCAATTCAATTGAAATGAAAAAGAGTAATCTCTGGAAAGGCAAACCCTTAAATGGTTTTGTATGTTTTTCCCTGTGTGGTGGATGTACTTTATGTAGCAACTGCATTTCAGATTTAAAACGTGTCTGGAGTACGATACAATACCGCGATATGTGGTTACATTCAATTATTCTATTTTATCAGATAATTACAGGGACTGACATGTCAGTGTTGTGTCCAGATTTATATGTTAGTGCTTCATAGAATGTGTAATATGATGACTCTTCTAATTTATATAAATATACACCATTCATGATCACCTTTTGCTAGAAAAACTAACTGCAATCAATTAGAACTCAATCTCTTGAGAATTGAGAGGCCTATACCAAAAGAAAATGCAGTTACACTTACCTCCACAGACTCTCCAGATGTCAAGGTAAAAGTCACTAGGCTCCCTTCAGCTGTAGCACTTTCCAGCTCTGCTTGCTTTGCAATATTCAAGAAAACTTCTTCAAGAGTTGTTAGACCAAGCTGGATGTCAGATATGCCAAATTCTTGTTCTCTATCTTGAAGCTCTGAAAAAAAATCCTGGTATGGAAGAAACAAACAAGACTATAAGAAAGTCGAAGCACGGTCTCTTATGTTATGACTCATTTTGTGCATGCTAAACGTGCTTTTTCTCACTAATATAAAGGCCACAATGGTATCCATTTCAACTGGTTTTAATGTCACGCGAAACATGTTTAGCTTAATGTCAAATACATGTAGCATGCGGACATGCTCACAATGCAATGTAAAAGTCTATGGAAAAATGTAAACTTCTGAACTATTCTTCATTATGAACTTTGATAGTAAGCAATAGAGAGGATTCATTTGAATGTTTCATGCAGCAAGGGAATACTGAACTCATCTAACTAAAGATAGCTGTTTTTCCATTTCAATCATTTAAATATAGAAGTTATCAGGTTATAAACCATATAACGATTCTAAAATATTATTGAGAACACAGTTTGAAACTGAGTAATGATTCAGATGTTCACATAATCAGCATAACCATAGCAACTAGAAAAATTCAATAAAGGTCTGCGTCATTGGTAATCAAGAAACAATTAATATTTAAACCCCAGTGTTGATAAGATTCAAAAGAAATGGAATCAAAGCCAAGAAAAGAAAGCTTACTGTCAGGAGTGTCTCTCTTTCATGAGGAATCACATAAGTTAGAAAGTTGTTGTTCTCCTCTTTTGGCACTACATCTAAACGCTGCCAAAATATTTAACAGGTAAAAAAAAATTCTTGTCTGTCATGAAAAGATTATAAATCATCACAATTATTCATCTCACATTCTTGAAGAATTGCTTCACAGCCTCATGATGTCTTCTTGTTGATACTGCATCACCATTTACAGGACTATTTTCATTATTGTTTCCATAGAAACTAATATTTGTAATAAAACCAGTGCCAAAGCGCGACTTCAATCTAATTGAGGTGCCAATGCATCGGAGCTTTCCCTTTGCCATGATTCCTATGCGGTCACTTAGAATATCAGCTTCTTCCATAGAATGTGTTGTGAGAACAATGGCACGCCCTCTTTTCGCATTTTCAATTATGTCCCACACGTGCCTCCTTGTTATTGGATCCATACCGGTTGTCTAAGAAATATGAATGAACAGTAAAATCTTGTAATATTTTTAAGATAATATATGCTTTAAAGAAGATATCATTCTTTTGCTTACCGGTTCATCCAAAATGACTAATTTAGGGTCACCTATAAGGGCAATTGCAACACTAAGACGACGTTTCATTCCTCCACTGTAACTTCCAGATCTTACTCTGGCTGCATCCATGAGTCTCACTTCTGCCAATGATGTCTGAGTAATCTACATTTTTCAGAAGTTGAATTAAAAGGGGAAAAAAGAAGAACTCTTGATAGTTACTAATTTCAAACAGATGCAAATTTAAAAGAAAAAATATATATTGTGGAGGACAGAAAAATTTCAGGCCTAGAGTTAACTTACTGATTTTATAGAAGCTGGGGAAATGCCTTTTATACTAGCAAAGAGTTCAAGGTGTTCTTGACCA